CCAAAGCCACAGTCACCACTGCCCTTCATGATGTTGCCTCATCTGCTTTTCCTAGTCACTGCCTCTCTCTGTCACCCGGGCTCCGGCTGCTGAAATGCTGCAGACATCCCTTGGATCTGTGAGCCGGCTAAAATGGCTCCATTGATCAGATCTAGTCCACAAGCCATAGGTTGTTCACCCCTGGATTAGATCATTATAGCTGTATGACAGACAGCTATGGAACTCAAATTTGCTTGAGGTGGATTTACATAACAAACTTGGCTTTTAGCAAAATTAGTGCATTTTTTTCTTTCAGGAAATTTTGACTCATGGCTTGATGATGCTGACCAGCTTTATCCCTATTTCCTCTGTCTAAGTGCTTAGGTTGCACTAATGATGTATCAGAGACATATAGTATAAAACTGATGCTGAACAGCTGTTTAAGAAGTGATTGAAAGATTAGGTGTTGAATAAAGATAGAGCAATTCAATTTAATAGATTTCATAGATTTCATAGACATTAGGGCTGGAAGGGACCTCGGAACATCATGGCCTCCAGACCCTTGCCCCAGGGATAGGAAGTCAGCTGTGGTCATAGGATCCCAGCAAGATAAACATCCAAATTTCTCTTGAAGGTGTTCAAAATAGGCGCTTGAACCACCTCTGGTAGCAGTCTATTCCAGACCTTGGGGGCTTGGGCAATAAAGAAGTTCTTACATCCAGCCTGAAAAGGTCATGGAGGAGTTTGTGACCATTTGACCTTGTCGCCCCTTGGGGCACTCTGGTGAACAGACATTCCCCCAGATCCTGGTGAGCACCCCTAGTAAACTTATAGGTGGCCATCAGATCACCCCTGAGCCTGTGCTTTTCCAGGCTGAAGAGTCCCATAGCTCTCAGCCTCTCATCATAAGGTCTGTTTTCCTGACCTCTGATCATGCATGTGGCTCTCCTCTGCACTCTCTCAAGCTTCTCCACATCCTTTTTTGAATTGTGGAGCCCAAGACTGGATGCAGTACTCCAGCTGTGACCTCACAAAGGCCGAATACAATGAGTGAATGACGTCCTGGGATTTGCTTGAGAAGCATCTATAGATGCAAGCCAGCATTTTGCTTGCTTCACTAGCTGCAGCATCACATTGAAGGCTCATGTTCATCTTATGGTCAATCATGGACCCCAAGTCCTTTTCATCCGTAGTGCTAGCGAGCATAGCACTGCCAAGCCTATAAGCATACTGCAGGGTTTTTTTCCCCCAAAGGTAGAGAACCTTGCATTTTTCGGTGTTAAACACCATCAGATTCTTACCCGCCTACTTCCTGAGCCTGTCAAGATCAGCCTGGATCGCTCTCCTGTCCTCAGGTGTGGATGCTTTACCCCAAAGTTTGGTGTCATCAGTGAACTTGGCCAGTTCACTTCTGACACCAATGTCCACATCATTAATGAAGATGTTGAATAGTGTTGGCCCAAGGACAGAGCCTCCAGGGACCCCACTGGTCACAGCGCACCACGACGGTTGACTTCCATCAACCACCACCCTCTGGGTCCAACCATGGAGCCAATTTCCCAGCCAGCACATCATGGTGAAGCCAAGGCCACAGTTGGCCAGTTTTGCCAAGAGGTGATCATGGGATACCAGATCGAAGGCTTTTTTTGAAGTCAAGATATATGACATCAATCTCTTTTCCCCTGTCTAGGTGATAGGTCACCAGGTCATAAAAGGAAATCAGATTGGTCAAGCAAGACCTACCCACAACAAACCCGTGCTGGCTATCCCCAAGGATGTTGCCATTGGCCAGTCTGTTAAGAATGGCCTCTTTGATAATCTTTTCTAAATTCTATGTCTTCATACTAAAAAATAACTTCTTAGAAAGAAGAGTATTTTTTAATTTTCAAAAGTTGATATGACAAAAGATCAGCTCTCCCCTAGGTTAACTATCCAAAACTTGCTACAGTAGTGTCAATACCACATAAAAAAGCAAATAGAAGGTTACACAGTAGCCTGTGAAGATTTTTTTTTTTGGTGCAGGATGCATGCTGTACACATCTCAACAGTTTCAACCATGTAATCATGAACAAAGATTAACTTACATACCATAAGGTGCAAACATATTTTTTTACTTACTGTAATAAATCAAACTATTTTTCTTAAACCCACCCATCTGTAATGATGTTACAGTAAAAGGAAATTCTTATTGTAAGACAAGAAGGAAGAGATGGATGAGGCCTTCTTTAAACAACTGATGATAACTTCCAAACTACAGGACTTGGTTCTAACGGGGGACTTCAATTATAAGAAAACACAATAGTGCACAACCAGTCCAGGCAATTCTTGAAGTAAGTCAGGGATAACTTTTTGGTACAGACGGTAGACTGGCCAAGGTAGACAGGGGAGGAAGCTCTCCTTGACTTGGTGCTCAGAAGCAGGGAAGAATTGATTGATAATATAAAGGTGGAAGGTAACTTGAATGACAGTGCCTGCAAAATTGTAAAGATCCTGAGAGGAGGAAGGAAGGGAAGCAGCAGAATAAAAACATTGGACTTCAGAAAAGCAGACTTTAGCAAACTCAGGGAACTGGTGGCCAGGATCCCCTGGGAGACAAATCTGAGAGGAAAAGGAGTTGAGAAGAGCTGGCTGTACTTTAAGGAGGTCCTTTTAATGGAACAGGAGCATACTATCCGTATGTGACAAAAGAATAGAAAGTGAAACAGGAGACCAGCTGGCTAGACCGAGATCTCTTTAATGAGTTGAAACTCAAAAAGGAATGTTACATACCATGGACATTTGAACATATTATTAGGGATGAGTATAAATGTCACACAGACATGCTGGGTGAAAATTAGGAAGGGCAAGCCATGATTTGAGATGCACCTGACAAGGACCAAAAAAGACAATAAGAAGGGATTCTATAGGTGTGTTGAAAGTAAGAGGAAGACCATAGAAACCATAGGTCTCCTACAGAATGCAGAAGGCAATCCAGTTGCAGATGACAAAGAGAAGGCTGAAATGTTTAATGCCTTCTTTACTTTAGTTTTCTCAAATGACAAGTGCAGTTGGCAGTAGAGATAGGGTAGGAGTCAAACAGCCTAGAGTAATAGAAGGACAGTTTAAGGATTACTTAGAGAAGTTAGTTGTTTTCAAGTTATCAAGGGGAAATGGGGTGCACCTGAGGGTACCAAAAGAACTGACTAAGGTAATTTGTGAGCTATTGCCTATCTTCTTTGAGAACTTCTGGAGGTTGGGTGACATCCTGGATGACTGGAAAAGAACAAGAAGGAGGATCTGGGGTGCTACGGCCCAGTCAGCCTGATATCTATACCTGGAATGATCATGGATCAGAGCCTCAAAGAATCCACTGAAAAGCACCTAGAGGAGAACAAGGTGATGAGGAACAGCCAGAATAGAGTCACCAAGAACAAGTCATGCCTGAGCAACCTTCTCCCACAACATTCCTATTAGCAAGCTGAGAAAATACAGACAAGATAAAAGTACTGTAGGGTGGATACATTGGATGTTTACATGCAGCAAGTATTTTTCAATGTCTGAGTGTCTAGTTGGGAGAAGGTATCAAGTAGGGTTCTCTGGAGGTCTTCCCTGGGTCCAGTAGCACAAGGATCCAAAATGATACGGATAGACTGGAGAAATGGTCTGAAGTCTATCAGATGAGATTCAACAAGAATAAATCCTGCATTTGGAACATAATAACGGAATGCATAAATAAAGACTGGGGAATGACCAGGTAGGCTGCAGTACTGCACAGAAGGACTTGGGTGTTATGGAGAAACAAAAGCTGAATAGGAGCCAACTGTTTGCTCTTGCTACAAAAAAGCCAACAGCATGCTGGGTTGTATTAACAGGAGTGTCACTTGCAAATCAAGAGAAGGATTCTTCCACTCTATGCAAACAGGGGTCACCGGGAGTACTGTGTCTAGTTTTGGGCCCCACACTTCAAGAATTATGTGGACAGTTTGGAAAGAGTCTGGCAGACAGCAACAAAAATGACTAGAGGGCTGGGAAGGAAGACTTGTGGAGACAGGCTAAAAGAACTGGAGCTATCTAATCTGGAGAAGAGAAGACTGAGGAGGGATTTGGTAACACTCTTTAAATATGAAGAGAGATTACAGAGAGAATGCAGATGGGTTTTTCTCTATGGCCATAGGAGACAGGACTAACTGCAGTGGCCTCAGGCTGCATCAGAGAAAATTTAGGTTGGAGATTAGGAGAAACTTTTTCAATTGAAGGGTACCTACGCATTAGAATAGGCTTCCTGGAAAAGTTGTGGATTCTTCATCCATCCCTGGACATTTTCAAGAGCAAGTTGTACAGACACTTGGCTGGGATGGATTTTAATAAGGGATGATCGTGCTTTGAGTAGGGGCCCAACTAGATGACCTTGTGAGGTCCCTTTCAGTCCTATTCTTTTGTGATTATGATCCAAAGAATTTTCTATGTATTCTCTTCTTGATGGTTTCTTTTATGACTTTTATTCATACATGTGTGTACATATGGGCATTAGTACAGGTATATTTAGCATTTTTGAAGACATAAGAAGCAGCTTGAAATGGAGGATACTTCAGAATAAAGATAATAGATATAATTACATATACTTCTTCCTGATTTGCTATAAAATGCTCAAATAAATAGCTTTAACATGAGCTGGTGGCACCCACATTTATTTATTTGTCTGAATATGGAAAACAGTGCCTGAAGTTATGTACCTAGGAATAAATTTGTGACAGAAAGCAGGTAGAGTTGCACCTAACAGACTAACCAAAGCAGAGGTGCACAGAAAAAGCTTTTGTAAGCTCTGGGCTTACTTCATCAGGTACTGTGAAGGGACTGTAGAGCTCCTAAACAGAAACATATGGGTCACTGTTTGATGTTTACTGAAGTAAATATTTTCATAATTTTTAGAAACAATAAATATTCTCAAATCAACTGTTCTAATTCCATGTTTCATAAAGTGCTATCCAATGCATTTGAACTTCAACATTTTTGCTCTCATTCATTAGGAAGTCCTTGCTTACCATCATTTCGTAGTGTAAGTGGTGTAGGAGGACTCAGAACTCTGGCATTTGTCACTGTGTTTTTTACCAGACAGATATAGCTGCCAACATCAGATGTTTGCACCTTGGAGATGTACAGATTGCCTGTCTCCTGAGAGATGAAACGTCTGCTATCTTCTGCCACGAAAGATGGGAATTCATTAAATACCCAACTATAGATGATCTCTGAAAAAAACCCACACAAATAAGACACCAGTTATGAAAATAATTCAAGTGTTATTAATGGAAAAAAACTTTAAATATATTCTGAGTTTTGTAGTTTAAATAAGCCCATAAAATCTGGATCTGAAGCTTTTTCATGTAGTTTTGTTGTAGAAATGGAATTCTTAATATCTTTTCCTCTCGTATTTAAGGAAAATGACAGAATATTGGCTAATATTTTGCGTATGAAGTCTTAGACAAAGAAAATTCATGAAGCTCCTCAAGAGAGTTCAAAACATCCACAGATATGGTATAATTTTCATTCTATATCCTAAAAGTAAAGCCAATAACATTGTGAAAATATTCCTTCCTTCATTCATTTTTTCATGAAAATGTTCAGTAACTTATACTGAAAGAGTTCCCAGCCAATTAAGGCTGGTTCATTTGTTTTAGATAGTGTGATTTACGTGTAAAATTTGTTTCAACTAAAAATGATTTTTTTTTCAAAGCAGTTTTTCCCCCCAGAAAAGTTTAATTTTTTTTTTTTACCTGAAAAATGCACAACCAAATTCCAAAATATTTTGGCCAAAATTCAAATATTTCAATTTGGATATGCTGACTGAAATTTTTCATTAAAAGATTTAAAAGGCACACCTCCCCAAAAGGTCATGGTAGTTTACAATGAGAAAAAAATACTTATACAATCAGAATAAAATATTAAAATGATAGTATAGCAAAACAAACTCCCCCCAAATACCCACAAATTTAAAGCAATTCCACACACTCAGCATCCCACACACTTCCACTGCCTCTCACCTAGGAGACATCTCCCCCTGCCTAACACAACTTCACTTCCCAAGCACTATTCATTACTTCCATAAAAGAAAAATAATCTTATATTTCCGCTCATTCCCACCCACTCCCCTGCCTCATGCCCATGGGAATTCCCTCCCCCATCTCTTAATAGTCCTCAATGATAAGTTGATGTTTCATTTATTCATTCTCTTTGATGAACTGGACTCTACCTGACCTACATCTTTCATGAAGCACCCGGGCCATAGACTCCACCTCTCTTCTCCGGGAGGAACTGCCATAGCATGTCATAGGAGCTGAAGTCTGACTCAACATATTAGCCTATTCAAAATGGGAGCAGAGAGGCACCCAAAACTACAACTTTCATGCGACAATGAAGCAGTAAATCTAAATATCTCCTCATATCTCCCCGTCTCCCCCACCACAAATTTTCAGAAAAACTGCTGAAATTTCCAGAGAGTAAAAAATCTCATTTTTCATGCAGTTCTCTTTTGACTGCTTTGTGCACCCATTTATCTTTAAAATAATTTAGGAGATAAGCTAAGGTAAGAGCTTTTCTGCAACAGCAGTTAATATGCTAAATACAGTGAAATGAAAACCAGATTTTCAAATGATCAGGCCATCTCTGGACAGATTTCCCCTTCCCTAGAAACATTTATTTCAGGCCCCTGGAAATGACATTTTTATTCCTCTTACATCAGAGCTGATCTCCTCAGTGTTCCCTTGAATTAAGCTCCAGGGACTTGTCCAATTGAACTAAGCAGCTAATAGCTGTGCCCTGTGTTTCCACTCATCTCCCTACTTGTTTTATTGGTAAAACCTTCCTAGTCAATCCACTCAAATGCTAAGGGTTAAAGACTCCTTCATTAGTCAAGTCCTATGCATTGCTATTTCCCACAAGCCTGGTGCCTCAAAGATCCATGAAAACGATAAAAACATATATACCAAGTTGGTTTGACTTTCCAAGCTAATTTGTGATTTTTTATTCTCAACCTATGAAATATTTTGTTCCTCCTTAGAAAATACAAACTTTTCCTTTTAAATACATTATCATCTGTTGTAGAAAAAAGGTATCAAGTGTGTAGGGAGAAATGTTAATTGTATCGTATCTTATCAAAGAGGCTTAGCTTTACCAGCTTTCCATACATACCAGTCTCACTAAAGTCAATGAGATTTTCTTTCACTTAGCCCCTGCAGCATTTAGTCTTGATTCTGCCAATTCAGATTTATAGGGCATAACTCTGTTTTTCCCTTGTATTTTTACTACTGTCTTTTTCCCCTTTCCTCTCTTCCCTTATCTCATCTCCTACTATTTTTTCATAGCTTTTCACTACTGAACGTGACACACCAACATTAGCTATGAGGCACCTTTCTCCTGCAGTCTTCTCGATGACAAACTTGTCAGGATTGAAGCTAAAAATGGAAACATCAAGCAAGGCTAGTTCAGTAATATACAGTTACTGTTACTGCTCCAAGATACAAACTGATTCACTGGTATAGCAAGTTCCAGGCTTTCAGCCACTAATTGCTTGAGCAACTATTTTAGCCTTAGCAGCAGCATGAAGACAGCAACTACACTTGCATCAATCTAGTCCTATCATACATTTTCTTCCACTGTCCTAAAAATGTCTCATTACATGCAGTAATGAAGCTGGATATGGGAAGGTGAAAGAGATTAAAAGAATCCCCCAACACCTCCCAGAAGGTCTAGATCTTCAGGGGGGCTGTTCTCTGTCTTTCCTTCTAATGTTGAGGGGGAAACTAGTGTAGCTAGATGCTGTGCCAAAAGTGTGAAGTTTATTGCTATATTAACTAAATTCATACCAGTCCCAGATATACACTGATGAATGTAGTCATGTGGAGTTCATTAGAAAGTCCAACTGAACACTCTAATCTGCTGTTAGGTAGGACTGCTCCCTGACAAGGAAGTCAGCCTTTCCCTATGAATCAAAAAGTAGAATGGCTAGTTACTCAAGCAAAGTGAAGCAACCTACCAAACAGGCCATTTAGGAATATATCATGAAAAATGGCAACCCAGGTCTACAGCCAGATGAAAGCAAGGCTCTGAAAATGGACAAAATGTGACTTTCTGGGGCTGGGTAGACAGAGGGAAGAATGTGGATAGTATTCTTTGCTAAACTAGAGCTGGAGATTAAGGAGATTGTAGATTTTGGTACAACTCAATTTGACCCATGACAGGCTCTGCCTAGAAATGTAAAATGTAAAAAACTGGAGAATGTACCCAAATATATGACATATAATGTAAATGAAGTATGACAAAAGTGGCTTATCTAATATACGTGTCATATATTTGGGTACATTCTCCAGTTTTTTATATATATATCGGAAAAGTACAAATCAAGGACTGGGCTACATTTGTAGGAGTGTTGCTAGCAGATCGAGGGAAGTAATTCTTCCCCTGTATTCAGCACTGGTGAGGCCACATCTGGAGTACTATGTCCCGTTTGGGCCCCCTGCTACAAAAAGGATATGAACAAATTGGAGAGAGTCCAGTGGAGGGCAACAAAAATGGTTAGAGGGCTGGAGCACATGACTTCTGAGGAGAGGCTGAGGGTACTGGGCTTATTTTTTTCTTACTGCAGAAGAGAAGACTGTGCAGAGATTTAATAGCAACTTTCAACCACCTGAAGGTTGGTTCCAAAGAGGATGGAGTTAGACTGTTCTCAGTGGTGGCAGATAACAGAAAAAGGAGAAATGGTCACAAATGGCAGCAAGGTTAAGTTTAGGTTAGATAATAGGAAAGTTTATGTTAGATATTAGGAAAAATATTTTCACTAGGAGGGTAGTAAAACACTGGAACAGATTACTCAGACAGATTGTGGATTCTCCATCCTTGGAGGCTTTTAAGACCTGGGTAGACAAAGCTTTGGCTGGGATGATATAGCTGGGGATGATCCTGCTTTGAACAGGGGGTTGGACTAGATGACATCCTGAAGTTCCTTCCAAAACTCATTTTCTATGATACTATGACTTGCAAATAAAGGAATAATAAAACTGCATTGTTGGTATGTTCTTAATTTTGTTCCTTTATGGTCATGTTCTGATGAGCTTGCATATGCAGTATGAGGCACTATAGACCTGTCTTTGGTGCCATGCACCATATGCATTGCGCACACAGGTGTTTCCTGTACAGCTAATTTGCAGCATGGGGTTTTATTTTTGATACTGGGAGATCCATGCTCTGGCTGCTGGCAAGCTCTCTGCTGCTGAATCACCGCCACTAGAGATCAGGTAAGCTCCCAGGACCCCAGGTAAGGCTGTGGAGGCTAGCTCAGGTGCTGGCCCCAGCCTCCCCTATCCCACCCGGGACAATTTGCCGCATGCCAGAGCGTGCGTGTATGGGCATTCCCTGGGGGCAAGTAGCAGTGGCACAACTATGGGAAATGCACATGCATACTCACCTGGACATGCTCTATATGTCCAACAGAGGGGTAGGATATGGGGGAGGGGACTACATAAAAAGTAGTAAGAAATCATATAATTATTAGATGATATCATAGACTATATCCTAATCCACGCACACAAGGTGTCCCTTGTGTACAAGTTTGTATTAAGCTTGTACAAATTACCAAAACTCCAGCATTTCCTAACTACTGAGTACTTGATCTTTGTACCTTAATATTCTGTTTATTTTATTTGATTTATTTGATTAAATAAAATTCCTTAAGGTTGGTAAAATGGTTAACATATTTAATAAGCCTACCGCCATGCATCATAAGCAAGAACTGAACACTGAACATATCTACCATTCAAGTTACAGGACTCAGCAGGTAGCAAGAGGACACATACAGAAGTGGAACGAGAAGTACCCAGTGGGCATGTCTACATGAGTGCATTTACTGCAAAATAACAGAAATTACTGTGTAGTATGGGCATGTGTCTACATGTGTATGGAGACTTATGCTGATTTGAGCATAAATTTGATACCTACATGATGCAGGTATCAAATTTATGCTCAAGTCAGCATAAGTCTCCATGCACATGTAAACATGTGCCCATACTAATGCGCTCTAATGCCTGTATGTGTAGACACTGGCCTATTCCTGCTTACTGCGCAGTAAATTTAAGCTGGTACAAATGTACATGTATGTACATTCACCCACTGAAATTATCTACATGTGCCATTAGGAGGCAATAATAAACTGTGTAGCTTACTGCTTACTGCAGCCCCAGCTGGCACAGGGCTTGGG